TCTTGTTGTTCATTCTGCATTTCCATTTTCAGGAATACAGGGATTTATCTTGATTACGAGTCATTTTCAAGCCAAGTACTTAAACAGAAGAAAGAAGGAAGAATAAATTTGTTTAATTTCGCGAACAACTTTCAATCGTCATTTTAATTACCCACTGTTCATGGATTGAAAGCGTTTGGGTTCATTTAACATTGCTATTACTGCTCGGCACATACCTATTAGTTTCTCTCTTATGCAAAAGCCACGCAAGCCATTAAAGAAAGAAGTTTTCCTTTTAAACGTTCGTCCTAGATTTCAAAATTTGCGAAAGGTTCACGCTTGTTTGTCCTAGTTTGTAGATAATTTTAGACCACGAAGTGAAGTGTGTCGACAAAAATAAAAAAATCAAAATTCAATTCGGAAACAGAATATCGTCGAGAATATTCTTCTTCTTTCAGACTTCAAAATTCTTTTCGTTTGAAATCTATTTACGACACTTCAAAGATCTCGGTACAATTTCTTTCCTCTTGACTTTCCTGATCATCGCTCTATCAAACTACGTAGCAAACTTTCATCAACGTTGAAACGATGAAATGAAAATTATATTTGAAATAAATTATCTTAATAGATCGTTTTCTTTCTGGAAAATTAAGCAATTAGAGAAAAATTTGTAAAAAAAAATGATCGTTTTGATTAATAATTGATTTCATTTCCTTTCGTTCTTTTGAAAAGGAAAGTTGTACGCTGTGACGATGATGGCAAAAGTGTGAAAAATGCATTTATTCCTATAATTCGTGAAATTTAATTTTGTATTTTTTTTTTTTTTTTATTTTCGTAAGAATTCTTTACGAAACTTCAAGAATTTTTATCTTTAAATGTTGACGAATAATACTAAGGTTCGTTTTAATCCAACTGAAACCTCAATTTATTTCATGATACGTTAAGTGACGTGAATTTCTTAAGGAGGCTTAATTAAATAATTTCTCGGCAATTTTTGCACACGTTCAATTCGCAATTAAGGAAGGAGTAAATCAAAACTGATGTAATTCTCTTTTCATAAAAAGAAAATGTCGAGAGATAATCGAGAAAATATTCAGCCATCGCTCTCTAGAATTAGAGAGTACGTCTATCATTACATCCAAAGATTCAAAGCTGGCAGAACGAGTCTTGACGACGTTGAACGCGCTAGACGGCCTAATATAGAGGTTACCGATGAAGACATTTCAACATTTCCATGAATATATCACAAGAAAACTAATTGTACATAGAAAAACACCGCGAGTCCGTTTAAAAATCGGTTAATTGATAATTGATTGATAAATAGATTACATCTTCTTGCTAAATTTGCGAAATTTCTATTACCTCTCTCTCATTTTCTCTTATAATATACCATACTTTCTCAGCTGTTTCAAAAATAAAAAAATTATTTTCTAGCAATTCTAGAACCGATTCCATCCATCGAAATTCCTATTAAAATTCTTCTTCTCTAAAAAATTTAAAAACCCTTCTCCATTTATCGGGAAATTTAACATCTACAAACGCGATTCGAGAACAAAAGGCAACATCGTTCGAGTCACGGTCAGACGAGCGATAATGCGCGGTGGAATTCTAATCGGACCATCGACTTCTAACTGTTTCAAAGATACGGAGGGTTCTCTGCGGCTTGCCTCGGAGAAAACCTCATAATCTCCACGGGAACATGACCAATGTAACCCAATTCGCCAAACGACAAACTCCACCTTGGTAAGCCTTAATCGTTTGCCCATAGGCAGATGTGCATAGGTGTTACAACCACGTAACAGCTGGGCACCTGCTGCTCCTCGAGCAGCTAGCCTCTTCTCTTTCTTCTATCTACCTGCGCGTAAAGAGAAGAACAACCTTTGCCTCTTTGTGACACGCTATACCACGCTATATCCAAGAGAGAGAGAGAGAAAGAGAGAATCAGACCACCAGGAGACAACGACAAAACCTGTGACTTTCTCCGTGGTGGATTTATTTTTCACGTTCGAGGGACTTCCTGCATCGAGGGAAAACAATCGTGCGCCTCCTCCAACTATGGAATCGGCGATGAATGGAAGAAAAGAAGAGATCCCCTCGTTTAATCCGGCTACCAACTTTCTTTTTCTTTAATTGCGCCTCTCGCGTATCAACGTCACGCGAATTTTCTTCGATCGATCGTGATTCCCTTCCACCTTTCTTTCGACCATCTTTCAAATCATAGCGAGACGTTTTATGAGACCTTTTTTTATATGTCGAGATTAATCTGGCGCGTGTATCAAATGACAGATATTTTATGTTATTTCATGTTGGTTAGAAAATGGCATTTTAATTCTGAATTTTCTGTAATCTTTTCGTTTCCTTCGGTATCATTTATATTACGCAAATTATTTTCTCACGTGATACGAGTAATTCAGATAATTATCCATGAAAAATTAATTTGAAAAGAAGAGAATTTGTTTTCGAGGGAAAAAGTATTATTACTGAATAAAATATGCGATGAATTCTGTTATTTCTTGACAATGAATAAATTATAGATTTGACTTTTATAGATAGAAACATGTTAAGCAATTTTGTCTAACTTACATAAGAAAAAATATCCCTCGAGGCAATTAAACATTCAACAGTGATCTCAGCCAATATTCTAATAAGCTCAAGAATCACATTGACAAAGACATGCTAGATTAAATATTCAATATCTTCTATCACTTCCAAAAATACAGTCGTTTTCTTTTGAATTATTCAGAAATAAGATATTCTTCCAATCAATTTCATTATGAAAACTCAAAAATTAAAAAAAGAAAATCTGTTTGTCTCAAATGTTATCTCAATTGTTAATCACGAATTAGATATTAATTTTCATTAAAAATTAAATTTATTATTAAAAAATTGTATTAAAAAATTATTACTTTCTTATTAATATAATTAACAATAAAAATATCAAAATGTTATAATAATTTTATAAATTGATCTACAGAATTTTAATTTCGAAACAAATAGTTTTTCTATGCAATTTATATATTAATAAAAATAACTTAATCTATCTTAAATAGATTAGATTATTGTATGATGTAAAATTTAGAAAAAAAAAATATATTTAAGAATTATCACGAAAATCCTATTAAATATACTGAAATGAGAAATGATGTTAATATCATTATTAAAAAAAAATTCTTCAAATATTGTTATTCAAGACGATTAAAATAATTCGATGCAAAAACAATAAAATAGGTGTGTTATGGCTACGCATATTTGAATTGTTTCAACAGGAAGTGTTTGACAACGCACTCCTCTATCCTCAATCGATATTTAAGTGCCTCAAGGATGTTTCTCATAGATGAATACAACCATGATCTCTATCCTTGACACGTTTTTTTACGTCCATAAACGGATCACGAATAAGTTTACTAACTTTAAAAAATGAGACGCGAAAAAAAAACAAATTTTCTTACTCTTTTTCATATATATATATATAATAAATATATAATATATTAATATATATAAAATATATATTAAACAATATATATATATATATTATTTAATATACTAATCTAACACATGCAGGGAAGTTGAAATATTAGGCATAACAGGACATGAGAGACTATAAAGGATCTTAAAACGAAATAATGCATCATACGACATGCATTTCTGCTTAAGATATTACACACGTTTAAAACATTTCATACCATGTCGTTGACATTCTTTGTGATTCGAAAAATCTTATTTTTAATTTACAAATGTCGCGATTTTGTAATTATCGATTTTTATCTCCTATTTTATTATTTTGTTGTTTTTTTAAAATATATCTCATCTTTGTGAATAAAAATTACCGATAACATGAATAATAAATAATATAATAGATAAATATAATCATAAATGTGACGATTAATGTAAATATTGTAAAAAAAAAAATAATATTTTAATTAACAAATATCAAAAATAATATTATATATTATATATTGTATTTAAAATAAAATTTAATTATTACCATCATAAAAAACTCTAATTTTTATAATATTTAACATTAATATTTATTATCGTAACATTTGTTAAATGTAAAATATTTTCGAAAAAAAAATATATTTATCATATATTATATTATTAATGTATATTTTTATGTATCTGTATTTTAATAGTCGCCATATTTATTTTCCGTCTACTTTTTATTGTGATTTTAAAAATTAAAATAATTAAATAATTAATTAATAATAAAATTAAATTAAACATACAATTTACAATGTAATATTTAAAAAAAAATTAATATGATTAAAAATAATAAATATCGTGTTATATTTTATACTAATAATAAATTTATCTAATAATTCTATTTATGATATATCGAAACGCAATATTTAAAAAATGGCGATTGTAGTACACAATCGACTGTCGTACTTTCGATATGTCATTGAGGATCCTCACACGCGGAAACTGGTTTACACGATGCAACGATTACCAAGCGAGATGCTAGGAATCCGAAACTCGCAGCTTCTTCAAGAGTCAACGTACTCCCCTCTTTTTAACTGAGCAACATTCAAACTCGCTTCTCCGCCACAGAGGCCACGCAATCAAACAGTTTTTTTGAGATTCGTATGAAACAAGTATTTGAAGCGGTTACAGGAAAATAGCGCATATTGCCGACAAAAATCGAAATTACCGTAAACTATGCCTACCAAACTATAACCAAGCAAATTAACATCGATATGTAGATTCTATATTTTTAATACAGAACTATTGAAGTTTTATTCATTTAATAATACATAATATAAGACTATATTTGAATACTGAAAAATTTTACGCGGGAAAATTTTTTGAGAAGATAGAGATTCTCCGTCAGGTGCCAATAGGATAAAATAGAACCGTTATCGTAATTACTATTTGTTTTCAAACATTCTTAAATATCGCGTTTACCAATGATTATACATCGCGAATATTTATAAACTCGCATAGCTCGTAAACCAGTGCTGTATGTATGAGGACGCTCGATGAACTTTTTCAGAAAGTTTTCGTATAAAATATGTACTCACAATATAAGCAAGAGTTGCTCCTACCAGCAATAATCCACGTGCTGAGAACACACTGAGCAACACAATGTACACACAAGCAAAAACACTCGCGAAAATGAATTATGACTAGGTATAGAGAAACGCAATATCACTAGCGCGTTTCCGAACAATATACGAAACACGTTGTCTCGATATACTCCGAAAAATAAAGCACGACGGAAAAAAGATAGAAAAACCGCGAACCGTGAAAAACGTTCGCTCATGACCGTCTCGCGTGGCCGGCTGTGACTCTACTCCGGTTCGCTTCGGCTTCGGCGCGACACTCCAATCCCCACCAATCACGATTCTCCCCACCAATCGTCACGACTTCTACTTCCAGTTTGTACTTCCGATCTTCTCGGTAAAGTTCGGCAATTTTCGACGCGATCGGAGGATCGCAGAATCAATCTTAATAAATAGGATTATTTTTTATGATTTTCTTTCAATTTAAATCAAATTTACAATAATTATGTTAATAAAATTATTATTTCGTAAAGAATAACTTAAATTTCAAAATATAGTATTTTTTAATAAATTGTAATTTTATGTATGCATATTTTTTCATATATATATATATATGCATATTTTTTAAGTACATATATTTAAATTATATTACGAATTGCATAAAGAATTTTTTAGTTTAAATTTATTGAAAGTTATAAAAGTTAAATTTTTTAACGAAATAGGAATAAGAAATATGAAATTAGGAAAAATGAAAAATTGCAATATTTTATTTAAAAAATTACATTTATCATATCGTCTTTTTATTTTTATTGTCACCATTTTCTGTATATATATCTTTTTTTAATTCATAAATCTGAAAAAAAAAATTTATAAATTTTTATTTAAAAATATTTGTGAAAATATATTTTATTAAATACATACTTGTATATATGCTTCAGTTAAAGTTATCATTTGAGGCAAAATCTGAGTTACATGTAAATCTTGTAACTCGTACCATTGACCAGTTGCTCTATGTAAAATATGGACTCTATATGTTCCTTGACCAGGTTCACCATCATGAACTATATTTGCAACTAAATCATATGTTGTATATGGATGTTTTTGTTTCACTTCAGATGTTAAAATATCTCCAAAATCTACATTTCTTTAAAAGAATAAAGAATAAAAAAAATATATTTTTAAATTTTAATTAATATTGAATTTCACTATTCATACATATTAATAAAATAATATTGCAATTTTCTGTTACTTACTTTACTGGAAAATTAACTATGGTAGGATTTTTTTCTACAAAGAATGTATTTTTTGTAAACCTCTATGTAACAAATTATAAATAATTATTCACAATTCTAATAATTTTTTATATTAAATAATCTGTAACACAATATTATACTTACTTTTATATAAAGTATAAGATAAGGAGGGAGTTCTGTTATCTCAAATCTTTTCATAAAATTTTCTTTATAAGTTTTATATTCTTTTTCTGTTATAGCATTAAATTTATTTAACAATGTGTACAAATTAACCTATAAAAAATGTATTTTATAATATTTATGATAATCAAAGTTTATAATCTACTTACTTGGGGAATAATGTTTTCAGTAAATTGATCTTTGAAAAGAGGTGGTGGTGGAAGATCACATGTTAGATATAAAAATGGACTTTCTGTTACTGTTTCACCATATTCTACAGTATGAAGCAATTCACTTCTTTGACTTTCTTCTAATTCTAATGGTGGTATCTTTCGTGTGTATATTCTCATATGACCCAAAAATGTTTTATATACTATACTAGAATCACGTTTTTTTGTACCATTTAATGCTAAATGAAGAGCATTTAGAAACCATGAAAGAAAATCAATTGGATCGCCTAAAAATTTTATTTTCAATAATTAATAATGAAAAACAACAAAATTTTTATTATAATTTATTTTGTAGTATAATTAATATAATCTATTTTTTACCTTGTTCAGTAAATTGGAATCTTTTTTTACTCCATAAAACAACAGCCTGCAACATTTCATGTGGACTGACATGAGCTTTAAAATTACGTGGATTCCATAACTTTCTCATTAATTCTCCAAATCGTTGAACTAAAAGATAAGAAGAATCTCCAGGTGGCCTTTTTACATGAGAATAATTAGATTCTCTTAAAAAAAAGTCTCTTAAAGGTGTAACATGAGAAAGTGCCTAAAATTATTAAAATTATTATGAATCTATATATGTGATATGAACTTAAAAATATTTAAAAATAACTCACTTGTAGAATCACATTACAATAATCATTTGCTTTAATATTATTCATTCCCACAATACCAGGGGAATATAATGAACCATCTATGGCTCTTGATAATTTATCACTTTTATCTAATTGTGCAATTTGTGCTTTATCAAATGTTGGATTTAAAACATATTTTATATCATCCAATGATGAATCTGATAATTATTATGAAATAATATTGATAAGATTTTTAAATAAATAAATTTATAATAATATGTTATAATAACATTTTCTTACCAATAATTTCATAGTTATCAGGTAAACAATAAAATTTTAATGTATGAAGATTTAAAAAAACGTGATGGCTCTCAGCCACACTATGAGTATATGCATGAGTATTAGTACCTCTACCTTGAAAATATTTTCCACATACAAGACAAGCATATACATTAATTCTTGACAATGATACTGAACATAATTTTTCAAAATCAAAATCCAAAAATTGGCGATTTATTGTATCTAAATAAGGACATAGTCGTGGAGGTTCTGAATTTATTTTAGTAATTTTAATTCTTTCTGTAATTAAAAAAGATTATAATATATTTTACAATTTTTAGGTTATAATAATATTTGACAATTAAAAATAAAGTTCATATTTGATATAATTATACTTGTGTAATTTCTATGGAAAATCTATGAATGTCAAAATAATAACATTTTTACTTATAATAATAAAATATATATTATCTATCACATAGATATAATAAAAAAAATATTAGCTAACCTTAAAATTCAAGCATGTAAATAATAAATTTTGACATTTTATTTTTATAAAATAAATTCAAAGTCAATAATAATTAATTTATATAAAATTTGATTATAAATACTTACTGTTAATTTCTTCATCTGAATTATTTTGTTCTATCATTAATTTTCGTTTTTGTTGAATTCCTGATTGATTTGTCGCCATTTTTATTAGCAATTAAAGCAAATTATTTTTATGAACTGATGAACTTGTAACATACTTATATAAAAATTAGAGATTTTTATTTCATATGTATCTAAAAACACGTGTATACGTATAATAAGCAAAATTGTATTTCAATAAATGTAATTTTTAGCATATGTATCTCAGTTACAAGTGAAATATATATATACACATACAGCAAAAATATTTTTCTAAAAACATTTCTCAAAGATGGCACTAATTCTCAATTCTTTATTTTATTCTGTTGTAGAAATATTTTTGATTTTCAAGAGATGGCATTAAAGATCAATTCTTATTCTTTCTCTATCTTCTTCTAATATTTTTTTTCCTTGTTTATATGTTTCACTTGCAGTACTCTGAAGATGGCGCTAATTTCTTAATTTTTAATCTATTTTTATCCTCTTTCTATTGTTTGCTTTCTTTGTCTATATCTGATCACAAATAATGTCGAGGTGTCAATTCAATACACTTTTATCATTTTTTTTTTACAAAATTACAATATATCTTAATTTTTAATGTTATAATCTTTAATATAAAGAAATATAAGTACCTAGATACACGAACTAAAAAATATATTATTTTGTATCTTGTATATATTTTATGTTTCTATATATATCAAATTTTACATACATTCTTTTATTTCTATGTATCTATATATACATATATATATATATATATATGTATATTTTGTATATATTTCTTTTTTGTCATGTATATTTTATATATGTTCTATATTTTTAAACTTTTATAGGTTTTAAAATTATATAATAAATTATAATGAGAAGATATTTGTAAAGTTAAATCATATATAATTGATTTTGATTTCTTGTCTTTAAATTTTAATTATTATAAAATCACAAAAATTTAAATAAACTTTCTATAATAAAAATTAATTGTTTAAAAATAAGTGTAAGTAAATATCTTTCGATCTTCGATAAATCGATCAAAAGAATGTTTTGCGCGCCATCTACAAAACAGATTCTTTTTAGATGAAAAGAGAGCACTATAAGTTAATTCCCCCGCTACGGATGCCACGACTGATTGTAAAAGACTCCTCGATGGTGTGGACGCAGACTCACTTAACAAATATCCCTGGATAATGCATTTTTAAAAAGTAGAAAAATTTTAAATTGAAGATCTGCAGGTGGCAAATTAAGAAATGTCGTAATGCGTGACATAAGTTTTTTAAATCACGTAAAAAATCTTTGCCGTTGGATTTCAAAGTAAAATCGTTCTAATCGGTCCTTCGGGTCATTCGTTTAATCTGGCAACAAGACGATCCTCTTCATTCTGTTGATATGGCCGTCGTCGAGGAATTTGATTATTTATGTCGCTTATGTGCGACTAAAACAGGTATTCTAATGGGATTACCAATCTTCGAAGCCGGCGATCAAATGCGCAACATTGACAAGAAAATAGCCGCGTGTTTGCCAGTGCAGGTAAAATCATGCACAAACGGTAGAGGTCCAATTTCACTGCAATCTTCAGTGCTCTGTCTTCACCCCCTCTTCCTAATTTAACTATAAATAGAGGAAGAAAATTGGTGCAAGGTTTCACGATGTTTTTATAACAAGGATCATGTTCTGCATTAATTTTAAGCATGTACAATTATTTTTAAAATCTGAAGATTGTGATGCCACTTAATATATTCTTTGGAAAAAAGTATTAATTTTTATTGATTGATTGATTATTTTTAGGTGTCTATGACTGATCAATTACCAAAAGTGGTATGTGCAGAATGTGCTTATAAATTAGATCAGTTATTTGATTTTCGTGAAAAATGTTTACATACTGAAGGAATGTTTATGGAAATGTTAAAAGAAATTGCCAAAAACGAAGTTCATATATCAAAACAGGATTTAGAAGAAGTAGAAGAAATGAATAGGATTCAAAGAAATATTAGTAGAATACAAAACAATATTGAAAATGTACAAAATCATGTAACTCCTCAAGAAACAGGAGAACCTACTATACATACTATGCAAGTTATAGATGAAATAGATTTGGCAGCTAGTGAACAAGTTGTTACACAAGAAGAAATGGGTCAACAGGATACTGATATTGAAGTTACTGGTATCGACTGTTTAGATGGAGATACTGCTAGAATGGTGGATGAACATATACGAGAAGTAAATGAACAAATAAACCTAATATGCTTGCTGAAATAAATTGTACTATATTATAATAATGTTTTTATTCTAAATAATTTCTAAATATGTAATAATAAATGCTACTTAAATATATCTTCTCATTACAGGTGTCTAATCATCAAATAGCGATGCATTTGGAAGGTGATATGACTGTAGTTGGAAATTTAACTGTGAGTGGTCATTTAAGTCAGTTAGGAATAAATTATGTCACTTCAATAAATCCTGAAGATCAGAGTCGAGAACCAATTGTACATTATTGTGACAGTGTAAAATATGAATCAGTACCAATAAAACAAGAATATCATAGGTTGCAGGATAGATTAACTGCAGAAGATCCTACAAATGTACTTGAAACTAATGTAAGTTGTTGAAATTGAATTAAAGAGTAAAAGAAAAAAAAATAGTTAATATTTTCTTCAATAAGAATAATTTTAACTTGTAGGTACCACATGAAAATTTTACTCCTGCTCAACCAGAAACCAATAGTGATATAGAAGAAACACGTATAGTTGAAAGTGAAACTCCTAGACATACAACTACACAAACAAATAATATGGCATCAACAAGTCAAGTAACTGGAAATTCAGAAATTTTAGTAGAATATACAAAAAGAACTAAGCATGCATTACTAGAAACAACATTAAATAATCCTACAATTGATGAAACAGGTTCACACTGGTATGTATGTCCATTTTGTAATGAAGCAACATTAGGTTCAAATAATATGATAGCACATTTTGAACAATACTTTTGTTGCTGTCCATGTGGTTTATATTTTACAAGTGTAGATGCCTTAAATGTACATAAAGAAAGATGTGATGTACATAAAAATAAAACAATCAACAAAGAAAAAGAAGTTATGGAATCGGAACTAGCATCTTCTCAAAATGATGTAAATGTAGAAGAAAAGAAACAAGCAACTGTGAGACAAAAATGGACTCCCAAAGTTTGTGCTCACTGTGGAAAACAGTACAGAACGAATTATAAACTACAAGAACATATGCGGAAACATACTGGTGAAAAACCTTTTCAATGTGTAACTTGTGAAAAAGCATTTCGTAGTAAAATTGGACTTGCACAACATACGGCCACACATACAGGTCAATTTGATTACAATTGTTCTACATGTGGTAAAGGTTTTCAGTCTAAAAGTTATTTGGTTCTTCACCAAAGAGTACATTCAGATTTAAAACCTTTTCCATGTAATACTTGTGGACAGCATTTTAAAACAAAACAATCTTTGTTGGATCATCAAAACAGACATCTTGGTGTTAAACCATATGTTTGCGAAATTTGTGGTAGAGGTTTTATAACTAAAGGACTTTGTAAAAGTCATCAAAAAATTCATTCAGGTATGGATAATCGCCAATATCCATGTGTGGTATGCAATAAAATGTTCGTTAGTAAAAGTTATCTTAATACGCATTTACGTATTCACACTGGTGAAAAACCATATTTATGTGAAGTTTGTGGTAAAGGATTTTTAACAAGAGTTGATCTCAAAATTCATTCGACAATGCATACAGGAGAAAAAAGCTTTAAATGCGATATGTGTGGAAAAGTATTTGCCAGAAGAGCAGCATTAAGATGTCACAGAAGATTGCATACCGGAGAACGGCCTTACAGATGTGATGTATGTGGTAAAACATTTACACAATTTACTCCTATGGCTATTCATAAAAGATTACATACTGGAGAACGACCATATGAATGTGATGCATGCGGTAAAACATTTGTATCGAGATCAACTATGATGTGTCATAAAAAAAAACACCATGGTGCACCTCCCGTGCAAAAGGATGAACCAGTTCCTCGTAAAAATGAAATGAAAAATATTTTACCAGCAGAAATTGTACTTCGAGATTCTCAAGAAGGAATTCAAATTACTGCAGATTGAAACATATAATCAAATATTGAGAAATATTGAAATAAATACGAACAATGCACGATAGAAAATAAAATATCAAGTCTGCATTTTATAGGAAGCGGCATTAGTCACCACGATGTATTCCTTTACTGTAGCATATTATATGTTAAATTGTATACACACAAAGAATATATTTTCGAGAATTCTTTGCAAGAGATAATGTTTTCTAAAGTCACTTATAGGTATAGAAAATAAAATTAAATAATTATTTACATTATCGTCTTTTTTATATCGGTATATATTTTACCGAAATATGTTGGTATTTTTAAAATATCTACTTTTTTTATTTGCAATTTGTTTCGCTCTAGAATCTTTCGATAATCAATAATTATTGTTATTGAAATATAAAATATTATGAATTTTAAGTTATAATAACGATAAATATTATTTACAAGCTTTTACAATCAATGTATGTATTTGCATTATAGAATTTATTTTCTAGCTTGTGATAATAAATTTTTTCAATGATATATTTTAAAAATTTAATAGGAGTACATTATATAATTTAAATTTCTGATCAAGTAATACCTATGTTTATTTTTACAAAAAGCTCAAATTATTTAATAATTTTTGAATATACAAAGTAAATAATTGAAATAAATCAATTTATTATTTATTCATTAACGTTGTTCTAAAAAAAATGCAACGTGTATTATATTGACACGTTATTTATTTACAACATATTAAAGTATATTAAAAAAATTATTCGTTTTAATTATCACATGAGAATTTACATTTTATGTTCTGTGTGCATTATAACTTGTTATAAACATCACGAAAAAAGCAATCTAATGCGTCTATTAACTATGTAGTAAAAAAACATAATTATCATAAGGAAAACAAAATATTTTCTTATTAATATCAATAAAATATTAAAATATTATTTATCGAATTAAAGGCTGATAGCTACTTTTACTGCAAAGAAATGCTATGAAATGGTGGTTATCTCATTAATAATATAATTTTTAAAATTATATATAAGAAAATCTAAAATTATATAATCACCTTTAACATTGTATTCTTGTGGCATCTCTGCAGTTCTCTTTTAAACAAAAACAGCTTTCAGCATTATACATAGTAGAAATTGTGATATATAATAATAAAGTGATTACATTATTTGTAAAATTGTGATTGTAATATTATTATTGACAAATCTTCTTGAAAAAATATAAAAAACTTTACAATTACTATTATTTTTTAATTTTATATACCTAAACGCACATTGTGTTAATATTTTTTTATTTATTACATATTTCAACTCTGAAATATTTATAATAACAAATTATTCATAATAAGGTTAAGAAAAATTTCAATTTTATTAAAAATTCTTTTTATTTCGAAACGGTATTAAATAATAATGTTAATGACAAGAGCTGCTAAATTTATATTGATTTTGAAATTGTTATTTAGCAGCAATAACATAATACGAGCATTATGCACGTATGTTGATTTTTTTAAAGACATAAACATATTTGTGTCTTTAAACTACATTATTACACTGATTTGTTATGCAACTAATATATACGTATTCACGTGTATGCATAATATACATATATATGCATGTGTATGTGTGCCTAGCGTGATAACAATTTCCATTATAATCGCTGTTCCTATTTTCTACATCATTCTACAATTGACAACAGATATTTAATCTATAATTTGACATTAACTACCTAGGCAAGGCATCAATGATAATATATTTATTTTGTTATTTTTTCCCTAAACTATAATTTTATAACGGGCCCCTAAAATTACAAGATATGAGCAATGATTATTAAATTCCAGAATTACATTAATTTTGTCGCAACTTATTTAAGAATATTCTTTACATTTCTTCGTGAAGCCTTGTTAATACAAAATACATATAAAATTGTAAATAGCCACGATAAAAAGAAAAACTTATAGAAAAATGTAAGATACAAAATATGTCCATCGTTGTTTGGCATGTTTTGTTGTAATTTTTTGTTTATATAAATATTTATATATTTATAATATTCTTTTTTTTATATATATTGATTTAATTTCTTCTGTTTCTTGTTACATCCAAATATTACTATGTAAATGTTCTTGTAAACGTGCAAATAGGGGCCCTAGCTAAATCAGTGGTCGATAACATTAACAAATTCTCTAATATTGGATTATACGTATATATCTTACAAAGCACCACAATCTAAAGCTATACAATACATATAGGGTGTCATTTATTTAATATATAACTACAAATAGGGAATCGGACGTATAATTCTTATATTTTATATTCCTTCATCATTTGCTTATGCATATAATCTTTAAAGATAAATATTATTAATTAATAATAATAAATAATAATTAATCTCAAAAGAAAATTGCGGTAATAATTGTAGTAATATATAAGCGCATTACTGAACACCCTATATATTTTGTCTAGTTGTCACTTACACAATAATAAGCATATATTTTTAATCAAAATTTGATTCAAATAACGTAAAATTAGAAATCTTTTTACAGAATCAATATAACATCGAATCCAATAGAATTAATATAAACAAATATGTACATTATTTTTGAAATATTATTCTCAATCATTATTATAATTATTTCTTAATCATTATTATAATTATTCTTTTTTGTGAATTTTTAGTATAAATACAGACAGAAAATTGTTTGTTAAAATTTTGTACATATAATTATATTGATCCCAAAACTGATTTTTAACTTGTACGCTTTTATTATAAACTTAGTATAGTCACAGCGACATATTTATAAATTTATAGACATAAAAAACGACTATTTTTAGGAACGCAAGAGGATTATTCGAAGGAAACATTATAATAATTATTAATAAATTTAATATTGAATAAATTTTTAAAATACATTTATAAAGAAAGTCAATTTGAGAAAATAAAAAAGAATATACGCGGTATATTGAAATACAAAATCTTGCCTGATGAAGTTATAAATACACGATCAAACTTCCTTTTCTTTTTGATCTTCAATATGTATATAAAATTTTAATTAATATAGTTTTCATATCTTTTGTAAATTATTAATTTTTATTTTTTATATTATATTCGTGGCAGTATTCGCATTAAACATACATAAATATTATAAAAATTATGTTTAACAAATATTATAAAAGTGATTGTAACAATAAAATATAAAGAATGATAATAATATATATATATGTAAATAGCATTTTTTTTAAAGAACTATAGTCTTAAATAAAAAAATAGGAAATTTGATGTTGTATTCACGAATAACAGGCATAAAAAAATGAAATACAGAAAGTTTATTTTATTTACAGATTTTATCTATCAATTAATAACGAGTTTTCGTAATTTTTTAATGGTCAGCGAAACGATAATATTACATAATTCAACATATACAAATAATAAAAATGATAATGTTCGAATTTAATATAAATTAGAAATTATATGTATTATTTATATATAAAGAAAACTTTACATATTAAGCGATAAAAAGATAATATTTATTACCAAAAAATAATTTTTTTGTTTGCCTTTCTTTATATGCATAAAATAATTGAACTGTAAAACCTTATGATAATTCATGACACTGTGCTTGAGGAAATCAAAAATTACAAAACTAATGAAATAAATGACATTTCGCCAATAATGACAATAAAATCAAAAAATTATGTAAACCAAAATATTTTATACACTCGTAGATTTGAGCACCTATATTAATTTAAGAATCATTTTTTTCGTATAATTGTACTATTTTAATTATGGTGGTTTTTTTTTTCTTTTCAATCGTTTTACCGTTTCAACACTTTTTCAATGATAATAGCAACATAAAATTGTCACAAGTATCATATTACTCACAATTGTAACAGCGATGTAATCCATCAGTCTTTCTCTCATTTCAACATCTGTGTCATGGTTCATTTCTTTATATTCAATATAATATGCATGCATATTTGTGTCTGTGGTGGTTTGAAACTATTAAATATAATAAATGATGTTATTTATTTCTAAAGATATATTTTTTTTATATGAAATAAATCAACATTATAGAATAAGAGGAAAAAAAAAAATGTTGGTCCTTTTTTGATATTGAATATTATATAAATGTTTGTTCAAATAGTTTTTCTTTCTTATGTTCTCATGAATGTACTTAAATTATATATAAGGATGCAGTTTCTACAATTTTATCAAATTAAACTATTTCTTTGTCATCATTAAAGAATATATTATATATTTTATAATAATCATTTTGAAATAAAGAATATTTATACAATTATCTAAATATTCTATTGTTTTTTTAATTTATATTATTGTTTAGAAATTGGATGATTTTAATTACAAATATTTTATTTAGAATGTATTTATAATCTTTGCAATTATTAAAAATTAATTACTAGAATATCGAATGTACAAACCACTCCCGAAAATGATAATAGCACCTCCCACAGACACTAATGATAGAATTTTTTTTATTTTTTAATCAATACTTTCGCTTGTTTAATAATTTTTTTTTTAATTTCATATTAATCAATAATTCATGTAAAAGTAAATTTAATCGCACACATATTAGAGTAAATTCTTCTAACAATGTGCCGTATGTAATCAAGCAATATCAGTGTACAGCATTATTATTACTGTCTCTTTCATATTTTATAGAAATTATTTTATTTCATTTTAAATTATAATAGTTGTTTTATTCGCGCGCAAGTAATATTAAATAGTAAATACGTATATTTCTCTTTATTTTTTCTTTTTTAACAAAATTACTCAAGTAAAAATAAAAAGATCGTAAATAAATTTATAATACTTGCACAAGAGATAAATGATACTTTTGCATTTATCATCTCTAGAAAATCTCTCCTTCATAAGTGAAACATTTTTGCACAGCAAAATATGTTTTATGTATTGTAATTCTGTTAACAGTATCAAATAGATTTGATCATTCATCTGATTTAATATAGTAATAGTGAATGTCGAATTTAAAATATAAATAAAGTCATTTGCGCATATACCTACTATTATTGCTCCAAAACTACAGCACATAAATAGGTCCAAAATGTTGATCATTGTGTACAATTTTTCTTCATTACAGGGTCATTAATTTAAATATACCCTAGAATAACCCTAAAATAAATTATATTTATTTTTTATATTCTGAATTAATAAAATATTAAATTATACAAATTTCACGAATTTTTATAAAACATTTCCAATTTTTAAAATAGTAATTATTTACTTACAATGTG